GAGGTGCGGTCGGGCGACCCGGAGAGGGTCTGGAGTTCTGCGCCCCGAAGCCGAGGGAGGGGGAGATCCCAGCCCGGCCCAGGGCTGCCGTCCGCCCTCACGGGCCCTGGGCCAGAGCCATGGGACCTGCAGTGTCCTTCGAAGCCAGAGGCGAGTCAGCCTGCGAGGATGAAGCGCGCACGTATCCCTGCGCCCCTTTCACTGCCATGGCTGCTCTGCAGGACCCTGGTCTGAGGGGGCTTTGCTGGTATCCAAACTAAGTAGGGAGAGAGATGTTTATAGAATGCTTCTAGTGGATTTTGGTGTATTTCTCCTCTTTCATGAGATAGATTTAAAAAGAAAAAATTGGAGATTAAATCTTAAAAGATAGCGATCAGATAAACCTCATGTATTAAAAGAAGCCTGGGTAGCCCACTTTCGGCAGCCCCTCCTGACCTTTTTAGGCAGGAGCTGTCTGTCCCTCAGTAAATATTTCCTACTCTTAAAACTAGTCATGGTGGTGCCCACCTGTAATCCAGCACCCTGGGGAGGCCGAGGCAGGAGGATCACAAGTTTGAGCCTAGTCCGGACAACATAGTAACTTAGTGAGACTCAGTCTCAAAATACAGAATGGGGCTAAGGATGTAGCTTAGTGTGAAAGACCTGGGTTCAATGCCCAGTACTGGGAAAAAAGGAAAAAAAAAAAAAAGTACTGAAAAGCTTTAATTCTTTTCAAATTTAATCTGTATAATTATTTTTCTGAATGTCTTTTTTGGGAAGTCTTCCATTTTTTTGAGCCAGCAAGTAATATTAGCTTTATTTATTCTTTTGAAGAGAAGCCAGGCTGGTTTTGGATGTAGTAAATAAAGTTGTCCTGGGGCTCAAACTTGTCCATGCTTTTTTTTTTTGTTTTTTTGAGACAGGGTCTCACTGTATAAGTTCAGGTGGCCTCAAACTTGAGGTGATCCTCCTGTCTCAGCCTCCTGAGTGCTGGGATTACAGGCTGTGCCTGGCTTTATTATTCTTTGTTTCTTTTGTTTTTTTCGGTACCAGGGATCTAGCTTGGGTCCTTGTGCTTGCGGGGCAGGCGGTGGCACCACTGAGCCGAATCCCCGGCCCCTGGCCTTATTATTCTTACTTTTCAATCCAGGGCCCAGCGATGTGTCTGACATTGCAGTCAGCGTGAACACCACGGCGGTAAGCTTGAGCTGGCAGAACGAGGATGCAGCCTCTCCTGTCTACTCCTACCACCTCCTTATCGAGAAGGCTGCAGATGCCAGTGACACCCCGTGGAACATCACGAACATCACAGCCATGCATGAGACCGTCCCTGGATTAGAACCCGGCTCACCCTACACCGTGGAGATCTTTGCAGAAGTCGGGGGCATCGAGTCCCTAGTTCCTGGCCGGAAGAGCTTCTGCACAGGTGAGCGGCCTGTGTGAGGCCTGGGGTGGGCAGGTGCCGCCCTCCCAGGGTCCCGGGGATGGACAGGAAGTAAAGGTCAGTCAGGTGTGGTGCTGACTGCCACCAAGGGGAGGTGCAACAAAGGGAGGTTTTCCTGGGCTCCCCAGGGAAGCTCGATATCTGGGGACACAAAGGAGCCAGCCGTCTGCAAATGGGGGCAGCATCTGTTGCAGGCAGGAGCAGCCTGTGCAAAGGTTCTGTGGTTGGGAGGAGTAGGAGGGTGTAGGGCAGGAGGCAAGGCCACGAGGTGACAGCCAGTGCTCCTGTGGTGGTCACCCTTGAACTTCCTGGTTTGACTTTTCTTTATCCTGAAGAAGATAAAGCTAGGCTTGGTGGTGAAGGCCTGTAACCCCAGAACACTGGGAGGCTGAGGCAGGAGGATCACCCGTTTGAACGCAGCCTGGATGACTACCTGACTTCGTGAGACACTCTCTGACCTGGCGCTCTGAGCCCCTTGTTCTCTGACCTCCTTGCTCTCCCTCCTTCTAACTGCAAAGGGGCTCAGGCTGGGTGGTGGGGGACTCCCTGGGTCAGCTTCCAGGGGGTGTCAGAGCTGGCACTGCCCCTGGCCTTTCATGTTCACAGCTTGGAGTCACCAGGCTCTGTCCCCCAGCTGGGGACGCAGAACTCCGGTATCCGGGGACGCAGAGCTCCGGTATCCGGGCTTCCTGCACTGCTCCCGCCTGGGGTGTAATTCCTGCATTCCCCAGCAGGGGGCAGCACTCAGACCTGCGTCCAGGGCAGGGGTGAGGGTAGGGGGACAGAAGCCAGGGGTGGTGACCCCAAGCCGGCCAGCGTGTGGGAGCCACAGCATATGACCCCTTCCCTGGTGTTGTATGACATTAATGACATCTCTCCCAGTGTGCACAGCATGATGGAAAAACATGGTGAATATGCAAATTACAAATAATGATTGCAGTAAAAGACGCTTGGTCACCAGCCTTCCCCAGTGTGCTCCCCTCCCTTCACACACACTGATCCCATTGTTCCTGCCGCTTTCTGAAGCAGTTCTGGGGTCCTCTGCCGTGGCTGCTCAGTGTCCTGAATGAAAACCTCACCTCTCAGTCAGTGTGACCTCAGGGAAGAGCAGGACTCGCACGATGTCAGACCCTGACTGAGGTGGAGAGCACGCCTCTCCGCGCCGTGTCTTATGAGCTGCCTTTCTGTTGGTGGCCCTGGGCCACAGCAGCTGCCAGATTTGTGATCGTACCTCCTGAAGACACTGAGGAAAGGGCCCTCCAGACCTGCTGCAGAGAAAGGGCAGATCCCCAGCCGAGTGTGCTCGTGGTGTGGGGGGTTCTGAGGGCAGTCATGGCAGTGTGACCTTTACCTTAATGCATTTTTTAAAACTTCGGCATTCGTAGTAATTGGATGTCCCCGGTGTTAGCGGTTTCCCCTGGACCTTATGGTGTTGGCTGTCAGTAAAACTACTGCCCAGCGCCCCCCTTTGGCATGTTCACCCGGATTAGGCAGCGTGTCACATGCCCACATAGCCCTGATCTGGGATTCGGAGGACTGGGGAGCTAGTCCCGGCTCCCTGTCAGCTGTGTCGCGCGCTTATTCCTGTCTGCAAGGTGGGGCGCTGTGAACCTTGGCGTGGCCCCACTCGGGTGGCATCCCCAGGTGTCCGGGGCGTCACGAAGCTGTGCTTGCCTTGCAGAGTCCGCCCCTGTGAGCGCCTTCCATTGCGCTGCGGTACCCCGGGAGCCCAGCTTGGTCCTGACCTGGGCGCCCCCTCCTGGTGGCCACACCGGCTTCCAGCTGGGGCTCGGCGGCGGGGCCTGGGACAACGTGACGTGCCTGGGCCAAGGCTCCCCGGACAATGGCACCGACTGCCGCACGGAAGTCTCGAATCTGAATTTCTCCACCGCGTACAATGTCAGCGTGGCCACCTTGTCCTGCGGGGCCACAGCGGCTGCCACCCACGGCACCTGCCTCACCAGCATCACAGGTGGGCTCCGGGGCCAGCCCGACTGGAACCTGCTTCCGGCTTTGTTTCCCGGAAATACCTCTCTTTACTGGTACAGACTGGGGCCCCATTCTTAGAAACCAGGGCTGAAAGATCAGACTCATCCTTTCCATTCTGAAAGGTTCTGTGCTGTACTGAACAACTCCTCACACCTTTCTAAGGATTTCCTTTAAGGCACTAAAAATGACACTTTTCTAGAAATGTTCAAATCCTCATACGGGAGAGGGTGGCGTGATGGAATTCATGCTCGAAGCTGGACACTGCTTAGCTCTTGTTTTATTACATCTTCCCCTCAAGGATCACTTTAAAACAACTTCTAGTTCTCTGTTTTTATTCATAAATATTTCAGCATAGCTGCTTCAAGACAGGGACCCCTTTTTTCTGTCTTTCTTCCTAACATTGTGGCATTACCATCACCATCAACTGAAGAACGCAGCAGAGTTCAGTCAAGCCACACACATCCCTGGAATCCTTATTGACAAGTTCTGAGCTGCTTTGCGGAACAGGAGATCGCTTTTACTTAGGGGACCCTTAGTTATTCTTCCCACGTCCTGTCCTTTTAAAAAGTTTTTACTTTAGGGCTGGGGATTTAGCTCAGCGGCTCGGTGGCCTGCCTTGCAAGTGCAAGGACCCGAGTTCAATCCCCGGTACCAAAAAAAAAAAAAGTTTTTACTTTAGGGCTGGGGATTTAGCTCAGCGGCTCGGTGGCCTGCCTTGCAAGTGCAAGGACCCGAGTTCAATCCCCGGTACCAAAAAAAAAAAAAGTTTTTACTTTAAAACAGTTTTGTTGGTACCTGTTTGCAGAATGTAATGATCACATCCCTCCTGGGGCACTGGTACCCGTACGAGCACACGAACACATCTTAACTGTAACTTTGTGTGTGTGTGTGCTTGAGTTAGGGTCTCGCTGTGTAGTTCGGCTGGCCTCGAACTTGTGGTCTTCTGCACTACACTGCGAGACCCTGTCCTGAAAAAGAAGACAGACAAAAAGGAAATACAAGCACATATTGTTAGAAGCAGCAGCAACACCAAGACCAAAAAGGTCTACGGGAGCCCAGGCTGAGGCGCGCACTACGCGCTCTGGTGACCCTCAGCCCCGCCTCAGCACGATCATGTCTCACGTGGTTTTGTTTCAGACCCCCCGGTTCCAGATGGGTCTCCGAACATCACGTCTGTGAGCCACAACTCAGTGAGAGTCAAGTTCAGTGGGTTTGAAGACAGCCATGGCCCCATCAAAGCCTATGCCGTGGTCCTCACCACCGGCGAGGGTAAGGACGCGACTTGACCTGGGCGTCTACCTGTCCTGCTGGGCTGCTGAGCTGGGGTGGACTGCCATGTGTCAGGCTTTGCTTCAGCAGTGTGAGAAGACTCACAGGATTTGCGAAGGGCGGCACGGGGGGCGGGGGGGCTATGTTCACCAGCCTCTGCGCCCAGGTTTTCTTCTCTTCCAGCGTCAGGTCTTTAGGCGGAAGAATGTTTCCAGCAACTTTTTTCCCTTTTCCTTCCTTCCTTTCTCTTGTTTTTCTGATTTTTGACAGGGTCTCACTGTGTAGTCCAAGCTGGCTTCGAACTCACAGCGATTCGCCTGCCTCAGCCTCCTGCATGCTGGGATTGCAGGCGTGCGCCAACAGGCTTGGTTCCCAACTTTATTACCAGCAAGCTCTCCATACACATGTGCACATACACACACACACACACACACACACAGATTCTTACACAATGACCTTTTCTCTTGTTTTTTATTGAGTTTATTGGTACATTTTAGGTATACAGTACAGTTACATTCGTTATTGGGAACTTGTACCTTTATATGACAGGTCTTGGTTCTCATTTTTTCCCCTTATCCCTGCCCTCCCTTCGCCCCCTCCTCCCCTCCCCATTTACAAAAACTTTATTTCCATTTTCTCATATGTTTTTTCTTTTCCCTTGTTCCCTTTCTCCTACCCTTCCCACTTTCCCTACACCTTTATCCCCTTTCTTCCTATTTCACATTGTCAATTATTAGGATCTTATGTACTATTATAGTTTTTCACACCAGAGAAACTATATGGTATTTACACAAGTGTGACTTATTTATTTCACTTAGGAGTATATCCTCCATATGTATCTATTTTCCTATGAATGAATCTAATTCCTCATTCTTTATGGCTGAGTAATATTCCATTTTATAGAAAAATCACATCTTTATCCAGTTTCCAACTGATGGGCAAATGGGCTGTTTCCAAGTTATAGCTATTACATACTGTGCTGCTATAAACATAGGCGTGCATATATATCACTGTGGTATGATTCTTCTAATTCTTTTGGAAAGATACCCAGCAGAGGGATGGCTGGGTCAAATGGGACCTCTAATCCTAGTTCTTTGAGGTATCTCCATATTGATTTCCACAGTGGTTGCACCAGTCTGCACTCCCACCAACAATGGAGAAGGGTTCCTTTCTCCCCACAACCCCGCCAACATTTGTTATTGTGTGATTTCTTGATAGCAGCCATTCTTTGTGGGGTGAGGTGGAATCTCAGTGTTGTTTTCATCTGCATCTCTCGAATGACCAGTGATGTGGAACATTTTTTTCATACATTTACTTGCTGCTTTTACTTCATCTGAAAAATGTCTGTTCATTTCAGATGCCCATTTTTGAATCAGGTCTTTATATTTGGTGGGGGCTGATTTTTCTGAGTTCTTTATATATTCTAGATAGTAGTCCTTTGTCTGAGGAGCAGCTGGTAAAAATTTTTTCCCACATTGTAGGTTGCCTTTTAGTTCTGTTGATGGTTTCTTTTGCAGTGCAGAAGCTTTTTAATAAGATGAGATCCCAGTTGTTGATTCTCTCTGCTAGTTCCCATGCTACTGAGGATTTGCTCATAAAGTCTTTTCCTAAGCCAATGTCTTCAAGAGTTCTGCCTAACTTTTCTTCCAGCAAGATTAGTGTTTCTGTTTTAATATTTAGATCTTTAATCCACTTGGATTTTAGTTTAGTGCATGGTGAAAGATAAGGTTTTAGTTTTAATCTTTGGCAGATTGAAATCCAGTTTTTCCAACACATTTATTAAAGAGGCTATCTTTCCTCCACTGGATGGTCAGTTCTGTTTCTTTGCCAGTACCGTGCTGTTTTTAATCACAGTGGCTTTGTAGTATAGTTTCAAATTGGGAATTGTTATACCCGCTGCCATGTCTCTGTTGCTTAGGATGGCTTTTGCTATTCTGGGTCTCTTGTGGTTCCAAATGAATTTTTGGATTGTTTTCTCAAGTTCTGTGAAATATTCTGTTGGGATTTCAATCGGGATTGCATTGAATCTGTATAGCAGTTTTGGAAGTATGGCCATTTTCACTGTGTTGATTCTTCCTACCCAGGAGCAGGGGTTGTCTTTCCATTTTCTTATACCCTCTTCGATCTCTTTTTTTCAGAGTGCTGTAGTTTTCAGTGTAGAGGTCTTTTGCTTCTTTTGTTAGACTGATTCCTAGATACTTCATTTTTTGGGATGCTATTGTGAAAGGAATACAATGACCTTTACTTAAAAAAGAGTTTGCATTTCCTATGGGACCTTGCAGAGGGTGCCCCAGAGGCCTGGGGGAGGTGGAGTAAAAGCTGTTCGTCCTTGAAGGGCTCTGTCACAGTGCTTGGTGGGGACGGTGTGATTTGAGGGCTTCTCAGCAGCTGTGTTGAGTGCTTCGCGGAGGCCTGGACTTCAGGTGCTAAGTGTTGGCATTCCGGGTGATTCTTTAACCTTGGTGTGGCGGGCCCGGCCGCCCCTGCCACGTCTCCACCCGTGGAGTCGGCCCCATTCCCAGGAGGAAAGCGGGGACAGTGCTGTCAGTGGTGTGGGGAGACTGGGCTCGACATTTGCTGATGTCATAAACCTGTTTCAGAATATGAGAAAGTAATGTGGATCTGGGTGTGGTGGTGCACGCACCTGCAAGCCCAGCACGCAGGAGGCTGAGGCAGGAGGATTGCCAGGAGTTTGAGGCCAGCCTGGGCTACATAGTAAGACTTTGTCTCAAAAACAAAACAAAAAAGCAGATGTCGAGCCATCTCTATTTTCTCTTTTTATTTTGGGTCTGTGCATTCTGTCCTGTCGCTTTCCAACAAAGCCAAAGCTTTGACCTCTGCTGAGGAGGGCAGGTGACGTTCCCGGGGTGCCAGGCTGCCCGTGCTGTCCTGTGACGGATGGGACCGCGGGCCTGGGCTGCGGGCAGGGTGGGCTCCGGCCAGGTCCTGTTTGTTTTCTGAGCCTTCCTGATTCCTTTCGGGAGAGTGGGGTAATAGGCTTCTGGGATGGGGTTCATGGCGGCGAAAGGAGTGAATAAAGCGCTGAGGATCTAACGTCGTTGCCGCCTGGTGTGAGGTGCCGAGCCAGCATGACTGAGCTCGGAGATGAGCCTGCTCTCCGTGTGCCTCCCCTAGCCAGCCGCCCTTCTCCTGATGTTCTGAGATACACTTATGAGGACTTCAGAAAGGGGGCCTCAGATACCTATGTGACCTACTTCATCCACACGGAGGAGAGGGCGTGGTCCCAGGGCGCGTCCGGCGTCTCGAGCTACGAGATCAACGTCGGCAACGAATCCACCACGCTGGGCTACTACAACGGGAAGCTGGAGCCACTGGGCTCCTACCGGTGAGGCCTTCGGTCCCCCAGCCCAGGCCCAGCCCTGCGGACCTGGCCCAGCAGCCTCACAGTGCCCTCTGTCCCCGTAGGGCCTGCGTGGCCGGCTTCACCAGCATCACCTTCAACCTGCAGCACGACGGACTCATCGACGGGGCCGAGAGCTACGTGTCCTTCAGCCCCTACTCACAGGCTGTTTTCTTGCCCCAGGACCCAGGTAGAGGATGACCCCGGCCCCGTCCCCAACTCTGTGTCCCCAGTGCAGCCCCTCTGAGCTCCCTGCAGCCAGCTGCATTTCTAGCCCCAGGACTGTTGAGCTCTCTGATCTCACTTATGGACCTGCGTGCGGAGTCTTTGAACATTTGCAGCACAAGGAGCCCTGGGATTGTCTTGTCCAACCCCCTTTAGGAACTGGCCGTTGAGGCCCAGCGGAGGGAGTAACTGGGCAGGGTCGTACGGTGGCTTGATGCGGTCCCGAGATGCTGGCCTCGGGCTCCTTGTCAGCTCTTCCCATCCACTGTTGCTGCGCTGAGTGCCCTGGGGTGCCAGGACCAGGGAGGGTGCAGCCCTCGATCGTAGGCCACGGTGACTTGATGGACTTGATGGCTAGGTTCTCTGGCTCGTCCTACCCTGTAGTTTCTGGCTGTTAGAAAAGAGTCAGCAAAGGGGTTCCGTGTCCCCCGAGCCAGCCACCATTGGCACCGCTGGCCGTGTGAGGTGAGGCTCACAGGGTGGGAGGAGGCAGGTCAGTCACCCGGACGTGGAGCGACGGACCCGAGAGCAGACGGCAGCCGGGGGAGGCCGGGTGCAGGGCTCCAGCTCCCGAATGCCGTGGCTGGTTTTCGTTGCAGAGATGTGTAACTCTTGTGTGTGTGTGCGTGTGCATCTGGGCACGTGTGTTACACACGCATGTGCACCGCCCATCCTCTGCCGCGCGGCCCTTTGTGGCCCAGCGTGGACGCCTCCCCAGTGCCTGTGTTTGAACCCCAGGTGTCATCTGCGGAGCTGTGTTCGGATGCATCTTTGGTGCCCTGGTCATCGTGGCCGTGGGAGGCTTCATCTTCTGGAGAAGGAAAAGGTGATGTTGCTGACGTGAATTATAACTGCTTCTCAGGGGAGCATTTCTTGTGGGAAATTCCACACATTGAGGGCCCTGCAGGGAGGGGTACAGAGTGCTCGAGTTCCCGCGGTCCAGGTGCTTGCCCTCCTACCTGCCCCCGCGAAGCTGTGTATCAGTTGGGATGCGGGGACCTTCGCTCCCGGCTCAGTGTTTCTGTTGCGGCCCTGCCGGGACCCTTGGGCTGCCGCCATTCCTGCTGGGATTGTGGGCAATGCTCACAGTGCAGCTTTGGTGTTAGGTTCTGACTTACTTCTTGGGACTAGGGGTCTGTGACTGGGTAAGACTGCTTGCTTCTTGTTACCAAAAAAGTAGCACATATAGACAAGTCACTTTGAGATCACCGGGGTGGAATTCGTGACACCCGCAACCCCGAGGCAGAGCGGTTTGTTATGGCTCACGGTTTCGGTGGGTTCAGTCCGTGTTTGCTGGCCCTGAGGCGGGAACAGCGCAGTGGAGGGCCAGGTGGGGGGCAGCCGGGAAGCAGAGAGAGAAGGGAGGAGCCAGGCCCCACCCCTGGATGAGGCCCCATCTCCTCTCAGCACATTCAGTGACCGAATCACGGAGAAATCCACCTCTGAAACACAGGGCTTGGGGGACGTTCTGCCTCTAAACCATCACATTTGTTAAAGAAAACAAAACCTACCACAGAGAAGAACACAGGAGAAAGGTGATCTGTGATCTCAGCCCCTGCACAAAGCTGCTCCTTTCATCCCCGTTTCAGTGGCTGCACAGTACTTAACCATATGGAAGTACCATCATTGGATGTTTTCGGCTTTGGGGGCCACAGTTATGTATCCTTGTGGCTAAGTTTGGGCACATCCATGATTCTTCTAAGCTGGACACTCACTGGGTCCGTACCACGCAGGTGTTCAGTTTTCATCCATGCTGCCAAATTTCCTTCTGTAGTCTGTTGGCGTTGTACTCTGGTTCTTTGAAGCCTGTGGAGAGAGGGTGAGTCTCCGGGGAGGATTTCAGGATTTCGGAGAATCACTTCTGCCATTATTGTGTCACATTACATCTTATATAGTGCAGATCTAATTTTCATAAGGGAGGAGGTGGCAGCAAGGGTGTGGGTGGCACGCAGAGATTGGCTGAGCCCGGAGAGTCCTCAGTTGCTGGGGAAATAGAGGGGTGCAGCGCGCGGCCAAGAAGGCCCTCTGCACACTGGTTACGGGCAGCTTGCGCGTCCCTTTAGTGCCCTAGATCTCACTGCTGGACCTTGGTGTGGTGCACCCTACTTAGCCAGGCCTCTGGAGCGCCCATACTCTCCCGGAACGTAGTGTTTACCGGACATGGACTTGAGCCAGCCCCACTGGGCATTGTAGGTGCCCCGCCCACCCGGGATTTGGGGTGATTTCTGGTTTATCGCAGTAACTCGTCAGACTTCCCCCCAAAGCAGTATGAAGCAAAGAGCCCTCCTTTACAGTGAGGTAGTGCGGCTGATACACACAGCAAGGAAATTCCTAGAGGTGGGTGGAGGAAGATTGCCTATACTTTGCGATAGAATTTACAGCTTTGTGATCGGCGTGTGCTGCTTGCGCCTTAAGCTTAGCATCCGTAGGCGCTCAGGAGGGAAGCGAGGGAAAGCGTTTCCTGTCTGATAGGCCCTTTGTTTTCTCTCACACAGGAAAGATGCGAAGAGCAGTGATGTATCGTTTTCTCAAATTAAGTAAGTCTCTGGGGATGGGGCTAGGGTAAAGCTCTTGCTGCCCCATCTGCTCTGTGCCCATAGGGAGGATTTCTGATGGCTCTCACTGTCACTTTCCCCGGCTGACACATTTTTCCTGGTTTGTCACCTGAAAATTCTCAGTAATTCTGTCTTCAGTAAGGAACCTCTATTTTAAATTGCTCTCCTGAAGCGAGACTTCTTGCCATGTTCTACTATTAGTAGGTGTTTGCAAATATCATAGTGACATTCACTTTGGGAGGATTGATGTATGGATATAGCATATCTCAATACTATTTATTTTGTAGTTTTAAAAAATTGCATGGGTTGTCAAAACCTAGCGGAGAGTGGAACTTGTGTAAACTCACAGATAGCACCATTTTATACAACAGAGTTGGATCTCTCGATTCCCTTGTCAGTGTTTTGTAGATAGTATTCCAGTCTCTACCCTTGACCCTTCCCTCCATGGTAGTCTGGTTTTTGTTACTCTGGGAAGATGTTTATTTCCTAAACGGATGAGTTTCTCTAACTGGTTATTCTTTTCTTTCTCTTTCTATGACGAAGACCTAAAAAGTGAGTAACTTCTTTACTTTTTAAAACAGCTAAGATTTTCCTAGTTTGAGCATGCGCGTCTTTGAGTGTGAAGGTCCTGACAGGTTGCTGTTCTCTCAGGTCCAAGCTGATCAGAGTGGAGAATTTCGAGGCTTACTTTAAGAAGCAGCAGGCCGACTCCAACTGTGGGTTTGCAGAGGAATACGAAGTACGTGGCCACAGTACTGTGTTTTTTCATTGTTTTATGATTCTTCTTGAATGTTGGAAAACTTTCAGTTTTTGTCTCATGGTGAAGTTTTGGGTGAGGCAGCTGCCTGGAGGGAGAAGTTTGTGCCTGGCCCCTGGGGCCCCACTGTGACCCCTGAGGGCTCCTTCAGACCCTGACAGAGGATTGTACGCTTTTATTTGTTTTGTTTTTCTGGGCCTTCACAATCAACTACATCCTCAGCCCATTTATTTACTTATTGGTATCAGAGATCAAACTCAGGACCTTCTGCTTGCCAGGCAGGTGCAGCACCACTGAGCTAAATCCCCGGCCCCCTTTTTATTTTTTTTTATATTGAGATAGCATTTTTTGAGTTGCCCAGGCTGGGGTCAAACTTGGGACTCTCCTGCCTCAGCCTCCTAGAGTGCTGGGATTATGGGCAGGCCCCCTTTTGTCCTTTTTGCTTTATTTAAATCTCTGCCTTCCTTTTCTATGGCTGCCATAAACTGGGGAGCCAGGAATCCCAGATCACGGTGTTGGCTGGGCCCCACTCCCTCCTGGGCGTCTTGGGACTGTCCCTGCTGGTGGCCCCTATGCTCCTGATCTGCAGCAGGACACTCCCGTCTCTGCCTCTGTTTCCCCTCCACTTCTCCTTCCTGTGCCTGCTTCTTTCCTCTTATGCGGCTGCCGCCCACATGGGATTGGGGCTCCTGCTTGTGTAACCTTGTTTCGGCCTGATTGTGTCTGCAGCGACCCAGCTCCCAAGGAGGACCCTCCTTGGCACCTGGCGTTAGAAATTCTGCCTGTTTCAGGGGACACGAGTGAGCCCCTGTTGCCCTGCATCCCTGCTCTGTTCCCCCGGTACAAACAGATAAACCACTTCTTCATTTTGCTCTCAGGATCTGAAGCTGGTTGGAATCAGTTTGCCTAAATATGCAGCTGAGCTGGCCGAGAACAGGGGGAAGAATCGCTACAACAACGTCCTGCCCTGTGAGTGACTGGGCCAGCTGTGGCCCCTTCCGTGCCAGCCGAGGGAGTGTCCATGAGTCACCTGTCACGTGCTAGGTGCTGCCCTCAGGAACGTGATGCTTAATTTGAGTCCTCACAGCCTCCCGGTGAAGTAGGGATGGGAAAGTTCATTTTGCAGATCAGGAAACTGAGGCACGAAGCGTGAGGTCACACAGGTAGTAATGGCAGAGCCAGGGTTTGGACAGGGTCTGTGTCTCATTCAGGGAAAAGGATGGAGTTGGGCTCTTGCCTGTCTCTGAGTCGCTTTCTCATTGCTGGAACACAGCGCCCAACGCCTGCACCTCGAAGGAGGTCTATTTTGGCTCAGGTTTTCAGTCTGTGGGTGGCTGCGGAAGGGTCTGGCGGAGGACAGCTGCTCTCCTCATGGTGGGCAGGAAGCAGAGGCTGGAGGAGCCAGGGAGGGAGATGCATACTTCCGGGTCAGGTCCCCAGTGACCCGCCTCCCCTGACCAGGCCCCTCCTAGCGTCACAGGTAGCTAGAGCACCCCCATGATTCATTCAGAAGCCCTGCCTATGAATACACGAGGCTTTAGGGGAACATCGAGCTATAAGCCGTGACTCCATATCTTTGTTCTCTCAGCCCCTTTATTTCACTTCATGTAGCTCTGGATGAAAGTGAGCAGAGCAGAATGGTTGCTCTTTCTGCTTGTCCAGACATACGTGTGATCGGCAGGGTGCTTTCCACAGCTTGATGTGAGTGATGAGTGAGCCGGGCACAGTGGCCTGTAACCTCAGCATCCGGGAGGCTGAGGCAGGAGGATCACCACAAGGTGGAGGCCAGCCTGGGCTACATAGTGGGTTCAAGGCCAGCCCAAATGACATAGTGAGACCCTGTTTCAAAATAACACATGAGGGCCAGGGATTTAGCTCAGTGGCGCTCTGCCAGCCTTGCAAGTGTAAGGTCCTGACTTCGATGCCCTGTACTACAACAAAACAAAACAAAACAAAACAAAACAAAACAAAAACCAACAAGCCAAAAATAGAGTGATGAGTAAACTCTTCCCAGTTTGGGGGAATCACAATAGCCTGCCGTGCAGCCAGCATGAGCGGGGCCCCTACACAGTGTCCTCTCCTGTGGGAGGTTGGGCACCCACAGAAGAGGCTCCAGCCATATTCGTGTTCACTGAACGTGGTGTCCAGGCTTTATGGTTGCCAAGGTTTTCTTTCCTGGACTGAAATGTTAATCTTTGGTTTGAGTCAGCATCCTCCAGCTCCTAGCTTCTCTTTCTTCATTGTTTTCCTTTGTTCTGGGGAAAAAGCTTTGAAAATAAATGTCGGGAGGAGCTCCAGTCAACTGGTGTCACCTGCTTGTCTTCTCGGATGCCTACGGGGGTTTTCTGATCCCCAGTGGCATCTGGGACTTGATGTCCGAATGTTGTTTTTACTGGAAAGACTTCAGGCTGAGACTCATGTCGGTACCTGAGTCAGCATCACTGTGCTTGTCCGTCCGGGAGGTGCCCCGAGCAGGGAGAGGCCGGGACGTGGGGGGCTGTGGTGCGGCTTTCTCCTGCGTCTTCCCTTCCTGGAGCCACACAGGTCTGTGACTGACATGGCAATAACTCGTAGGAAATGTGAGACTTCTGTACTTGGATCATTCCATTCTTTTTTTTTTTTTTTTTTTTTTTTTTTTTTTTCCGGGGGTTCGAACTTGACTCCTTGCGCTTGCAAGGCACGC